TAGACACTCGGCTAACGATACTCTAAACACGCAAGAATCGCGGTCTAAAAAAGGATTTCCGATCTAGGAGGCAGCGGGTTTTTTTTTTTGCTGTTTGAAAGGTCCATGTACAGGCAGGTGACGACCTTGAAAAACCTTTTTGTTTTGAGATCGCATTCGGCTTTCATGATGCAAGGTTCTTTCCCCAACTTTGCCTTCAACTGCGGTAGCCTATATACCATTAACTTGTCGCAAACGAGCGATATTTTTGGTGCAGATAATGATCTCCAGTTATATCTGACACCGGGATTAACGAAAACGAGGGGCAGCCTTTTTCCCCTTTCCAGCCTGTCCTACGGATTTTGCACTTTCCAAATGCCCATCAGGTCAAATACCTTCATGGTATTTTCAATCGCTTCGAGAGATTCACAATTGGTGACTATTCAGTCAAAACAAATATCCATGCGCATAAGGGTAATTCAATTCTCTTAAAACTACTTCAATATTTTGAAGCAACAGATTACTTGACAATGGTTTGCGTAAAAATGACATAAAATGGACAAAAACTTTACATTCATTTTACGTAAAATTAACATAAACATGCTGTTTGGGGAGTGTCATGCCATATCAGACACTATAATCAGCGTAACATTTCTTGACTCCTAGGTCACTCCACATCAAATCGCCCAGAAGATGAGCTCAACCATCTTCGATTCTGACAAGTATCGCATGCATGTAGAGGAATTGATTATAAGAAAATAAATTGCAGAGGATTTTTATCTTGCTCCGATCTCGAGATATATCCATTCGAATCGATTGATACCATGTACGGCACCAAAAAAAATGCAGGTGACTTTTGAATCACCCTGTATATGGACCCAGGCGCCTTTAGTCTATCATGTGCTATCATGCGATCCTGAATCGACCATGAAGGTCAATATAATGGTGAGTGTTCGAGCCATAATGTTCGATAATTTCAAGTGCGGCATCACTGCCTCGCCCCAATCCACAGTGGGCAAGAATGGCGAAAACATGCGCAAAAATCAAACATCAGCGATATTATCTTATAATGAAAGGAAACTTTTGAATATTGCTTTCAGAACATGTTTAGCTAGATTCAAACGATTTTCAGGCTGAATTTTTAAAGACCCAAACAAGTTGTCAGGCCTCGCCGTAGCGGTGATCCTTGGGAGGGAGCGAGAATGCAAAAGTCTCAGATAAGTAGACATATTAATTTCGTTTATATCAGAAGAATCTGCAACAATCTGCAATAAACACTACTTGTTCGCTAGTGACGGTAAGTAAGCCCTACGCACTATCCTAGCTTGAAAACAGAATATTGCGGAATGACTCTGCTTAAACTTTTATTATTTTTTCAGGCAGAAAAATTAGAGGTTTTACTCAAGCTAAGGACTAACTTATTTTTCCTGCAAGTAATAGAAGGATCATAATAGTATCATAACTGTGGCAAGTTAGTAAGTTGATCATCATGATAGCATCCACTTTTCTTGATTTCATATATCCAATTTCAACTTAGCAGCAGCTTCAGTCATCTTGTCCTATGACTTCACTAAAACGTGACATCGACCATCAAAATGTACGCAGACATTTTCTCAACTAGAGCGCCATCTAGTGACGAAAATAAATATCACCGAAATAAGTCATTGCCTCTTTAATCGTTTTCCTTCAATTACGGTCATTATCTCTGACTTTCATTTCACGGACGAAAATGATTTTTGTGCATCGCTGGCCCACTATGCAATCGCATGAGCTAATGATGTTGATGGGCCTAAAATGTTCGTGCCCAGCGCCTTCGTCGCGGCCGAAATGGTTGCAGACAGTTCTTCGCAGACAAAGCGTTGCCTGCACTTTTGATCGTTCCACCTTTTCGCCGCCGAGACCGCACTCTTCTTTTCACGAGGGCATTACAAGTGCTGCGAGCAGATGCAGCTTTTTCCATATCTACGCGTGGGATCCTGAGAGTTTTGGGGGCTGCATGATTGTGGTCAGCTCTGGTAGTTGACATGGCCACTCCATTTCTTGTGTGCATCCTACTGTAACGGCTTCGCAGCTCACATCGCCTTGCTATCTTATTGAAACTTCGCCTTTCTACAGTATAAATATACTCTCCATAGTGAAGGTTTCCTTTACTTTTAGATGTCTTGAGGTATTTCACTGACATTACCCGATTCTATATGCACGTATATGAAAGCGAAACTGCTTACGATGTCTAGAATGGCTGCGATCCTTTGCCTCCCCTCCCTTCTGCAGCTGATCTTCATGAGGAACGCAAGAGCCCTATTCCTTCTACCATTTTCTTCGGCCTCCTTTCACCCCTCTCCCCCATGCGACTACTGTATATGCCTGCGAAGAAAGAGTGCAACGACCAAAAGTGCATGTGACGTGTTGTACACGAGGAAACTGTCCACGACCATTTTAGCCGCTACGAAAACGCTGGAAACCAAAAATTTCCACCATCATCAAGGGATTTGGCAGATTTGTGATGAGACGTAATAAGTTTCGTAGGTGCACTTTACTCTATCTGAAAAGAGTATGGAGTGATTCCTGCCACCATGGACCTCTATTGCTTGAGGAAAATTCACATTATCGTCATGAGGACATCCAATAAACACAGGGCATTGGGTTGGGGAATGTGAGTGGAATCATCCTCCTCCAGTAAATTTGAGGAAATAATACAATCCTCGTTAAGCAATTCACCGACAACTTGAAACCAAAAAATAAAGACCGAATAAAGTTGTCGGATTTACTTTCAAACATTTTGCAAGGGTTTAATTGTGCCATGTCTATGAGACCATTACTGGCGATACATAAATGGAAATACGATGTAGGAATTCATCACAGAGACGAAGCAACAATTGAGAGCGTGGCTTATTCTTATGGCGTTCTCTATCCAATAAGTCCTCATTTCTGCAATATACGGGTTGTCCCACAACCTGGCTAGTTATTTTGAGGAAAGGTTAGGTCAGTGCTGTACCAACAACTGATTTAGGTACCCGTTCGGTTCTTAAAAAAGAACAACGAATGGGGATGCAGAAAATGAAATATTGGGTCGATCGGAAAGTTCTGGCCGTTTCGAGAACATTCCATACAACCGAGTTTAAAAAAAAAAAGTTGATTAAACGAAGTAGTCGCCATCTCAGTCAATCACCTTCTACCAACGATCAGGCAGACTCCTGATTCCATCCCTGTAGAACTAAGCTGGCTGTGAGTCGAAAAATTCCGTCAGCCAGTTTTCGACCTCGGCGTCATCGTTGAACCTTTTCTGGCGAAGATGTTCATCCAAAGCGCGGAAGAGATGGTCGTCGGTTGGTGCCAAATCTGGGCTCTACGGAGGGTGAGGCAGAACCTCCCAGCCCAGATCCAGCAGTTTCTGCCGTGTGACCTTCGCGACATGCGGTCTTGCGTTTTCGTGCAGGAATCGAACACGACGGTGCCCTGGCCTCACCGTGCGGAGTCTGTCGACGAGCTTCTGCAGCCGATCGCTGAAGTAGGCAGCGGTGATGCTGGTATCGGGTGGGAGCAGCTCGAAGTCCATCACGCCTTGCACGTCCCACCAAACGCACAACATGACTTTCGGGGGTGCAGGTCACCTTTCGGCTCCGGCTCTGGCTGGGCATCGGCATCGACCCACTGGCGCCTGCATCGGTAGTTGAAGTACAGCATCCACTTTTCGTCTCCAGTGACTACGGAATCCAGCCAGTCGTTTGTGCGCTTGTACGACAGCAGCGAAGTGCACACGTCAGCACGACGTTCGCGGTCGCGGTCGGTCAGATCGTGGAGTACCCACTGACCCGACTTGCTCTTCTTGCTAATTCCAGGTGCGTCACGCTCGTGGACTGGGAGCAGCAAAGCGCTGTCGCTAAGTCGCGGGTACTTTGCCTCGGATCGGCTTCCACTGTGTGCTGCAACTGCTCGTCGTCGATTTCGGATGGGCGGCCTGACCTGGGCTCATCCTCGAGGCTGTAATTTCCAGACCGGAAACGATCGAACCATCGTCGCGCTGTCCTTTCCTAAACTGCACCTTGGTCAAACGCGGCGCAGATGCGGCCACTCGATTCGGCTGCTGTGATGCCAGATAGGAAGTCGTAAAGAAGGTACTGACGTTGGGCGGTCTTGTCAAAGTCGATTTTGGAAGTCATGGTTATAGGCTTTGAACGACTAAGCAACTGCTGCGCAATCACGCCCACACACCCTTTAGATATTGCTACTGTGGAAGGTTCGAGAAAGTTCCAGAAATGATTTTTCTAGAAAATTCTCGAAACGGCTAGAACTTTCCGATCGACCCAATAGAAGAAAATACGACCAATAGCAGCTCGGCGGCACTCCAGCACTACCTAGAAAGTTCTGTGTTGTGCCGGGACCAATGAGAAGCCAGTGCAAGCCTGATGAAACCCTCAATGCGTATTGCACGTGCTCCTCCCCTCTTAAAGCTCGATCGAGTGCGACTCATGTTCAGTTGCGTCATAGATTCTGCCTTGGGTCAGTGTGGTGGCGGATCGCACAAGTAGGCCTTTTAGTGTATTCAATATCAGATGAGTAACAGTTAAGCTTCGCCTAGCCTACAAGCCTTGGCGAAGGCTGCAAAGCTGTCCGAAGACGGGACCAGGCCTTAGCTAAGGCCAACACCACTATTTTTAAAAAATACCATTTCTGCATTAGTAGTAGTGGTTATTGCTGGCCCTTATTCTTCAAAATAGGTTGACTTCAAGTTTTAAAATTAGCAGTAAAAGTTATATTTGGCACAAATGTTGACACAAATGAACTTGTTCTGAGTCTGATTAATAATATCTATTTGTGCAACAATTTTCATTGTGATCAGGTTAATATTATTTTAGTTATCTTCAGACAAAGTGCAATGCACAGACAGGCTGGATGGAACTACCAGTAGTCTCTTACCTTTGAGGAACAGGGACCCTCTAAAAAGTTGGCTAAAACTATTGCCTAACATTTAACAGTCTCACCATATAATTAGGCTATCTGTATTACTTCAGGTTTTCTTTTCTTTTTCAAACAGGTGCTGCATCAATAAAGACGAGTGCAATTTAGGATATTTTCATGATGATACGCAGCAGGTGCTTGTTACTTGCACAAGGTTTTCTCAAGACTACCTACCAATTGCCAGCCAAAGGGCACCAGCGGTTCTTCACTAGAAGAGGATGGGACCCATTCCATGATTTCCGAAGCATCTTGCAAAATGTGGAGCGTCAGATGAATGAATTTGATCGGGATATGCGTGGCTGGATTAACAGAAATGGCTTCCCCCCTTTTGCACAACTTCTTCCAAGCATGTCCCGTTCTGTACCCATTGAATCTGATGGTTCTGGGGACAAGTACCGAATCAGCATTGACATGGAAGGATATAAGCCTGAGAACATCAAGGTTGGTGACATTATCTATGCTTCCCTCCTGACAAATCCTGATGCCAGTCCCCTCCTTGATAGCCACAAGAAGAAATTCATAGTTTGGATGAAAGTTGAAAGCTTTAGGCATATTCCAAGTAGAATTAACTAGCAATTCAGCAATCCATCCAAAGGGCTGCCTCCTTTGAGTCAGGTTTGTTGGTGGTACACTATATGTAGAAAAGTTACTTGTTTACCCATGGGGACCAGAACCTGAAGAAATGCTCATGTGAAAACCTGTTGGAAGTGTCTCATTTGGTTTGTAAGGTTTATCTCAACTTGACAGGAATAAGGGTCTTTAAGGTTGCAATACCTATTTGGCTTTTTTTGCTTTTTTTTTGTTGCTTTTTGTAAATTCCAGCCTGGGGCTCCCTACCCACTAATTGCTAGTCACTGAGAATAAATTCATCCAAGCCAAGTAGAGCTCTTTCTTGTTTGCCAGAGCTTGTAAAAATTGTCATGCATATACTATAGATTTTGGAGGCAACAGAACTGATTGCAGGACATATTACATTAATAGATCCATGCTTGGGATGGCCATTAAGAGTGTATTCTCCTAGTGCACTCAATTTCTAAACTATAACTTTCTTGAAATAACCAGAAGAGTATGAAATAATTTTACCACGCTGTATTCTTGATATGTGATTGAGGACAGGAAAGATTTTAAGAAACATTCTTCCTCTTATAAAGAAAAAAAGAAGCAGGATCAAGGAGGTAATCTTATATTCATGGACTTGGCAGATGAACTCAGTAGTAATGAAATCAGTTAAACTTTCTAGATTGGTACATGAGGGTGGATGGTTTTTAACCAATGACTAAAAATAATTCAATATTATCAAAGTTCTGCATTATAAAGAACAGTATTATTTTTTCAATTGTTGAACTTACAAGGTAATGCTGGATGTAATAATTCTCAATGCTAATTCTTGATTTTTTTATTCGCTACCAAGTTTTTCACAAAGATTCCTACCTCAAAACATCCCATTTTTTGCATGTTAGCAATATAAGGAAACATTAGTACATGTCCTTTCTATTTTATAAGCATTAGCTAACTATTATATGACTGCTTACATTATAACTCACCTTCAGTTGTAATGACACTGTTGTCAAAAGGTAGCAAAGGGTTGGGAATGGTAACATTGTATGCCAGACAAAAATAAGTTTTTAGGATAGTGGCATGCATTGCATAAATTAACCAGTATAAAAAATTGCTAAAAAGTTACTTTGAGAAATATACATTGAAACCTCACCAACTCCATTGTCTTTCATTGGGCAATCACAGTGACATTAATATGCTTATGTGTGATTCAACACTGGTTTGCCCATGTCATTTCAGTTGCATGACAAAAGAAGAATATGAATTGGCACATGTATAAAACATGCTCAGCAAACTTCACTAATATGTTGGACGTTTCTGTAGAAGAAACTATAGGAAGTAAGTCATATAGTGGATTGGGAAAAAAAAAATGCCAGTAGAAATTTGCAAAAAAAAGGGAGATCTAGGTATAGTATTGGTGCTGTGCAGTATTTACTGTTGCTGCTGATATTCTAATTATGAATAATAATGCACATCACTTCAATACTTGCAATCACAAATGATGCTCATCACCCTCAAGTGAAAAGAAAGGAGCACTTGGAAAAAGGGGAGGGGATCCATTATACTACTTTACAAAGTCACAATCTATGGATAAACAGGCTGTTCAATATATGTGTTTATATGTTCAATACTCAAGCATGCACTATGAAGCACGTTTTTGGACAAAGCCTGCAACATTGTTGGTGGGATATTGGAAATTATGTTCCTGATGTTGGCTTGCAAATTGTCTAGACTCTATAGAGTGTGAGGATTGTTCATGTACACAATGTCTTTGATATAGCCCCCACAGGAAATATCCCAGTGATGTCAAATTTGGTTAGTGCAGAGGCCATAATCCCTTAAAAATTCCCTTTGTCTAGTCATTGCAAACTGCTATCCTTGTATAATAAAATTTTCCCACAGCTGCCAGCAATCTTGGAAGAGCATGCGTTGCTGCTTGGACTCCATGCTCACCTGATTTGACCTCACTGAACTACTTCCTGTGAGGCTACATCAAAGACAACATGTCCATGACACTCTAGATGATTTGTAAGCCAACATGAGCAACATAATTTCTAGCATCCCACCAACAATGTTGCAGGCTTCATTGTTAATGTTTGTGCATTGAATATGGTGGTGGTCAATTCCAGCATCTGCTGTTATCCTGACTTTGCATTGCTAACTACATTGCAACCAAATCTCATGCATCTCAGATTTGTTCTTTCTCAGTAAGATACATTTGTTTGGGCTTATGATTAAAACAAACAGCATTTAGTTGACTTGCTGGAACCCAACCCAAGATTAGGGAAGAAGAATGACTCTAGAACATCCCCAAAATTCAACTTCATTTGAGGCCTACAAAGGAGTCTGTGCAAGCATAATGGCAGTCCAACACAAAGTGGTACCATTGGTATTGATACAACCTGTACATCCTTGAGAAGATTGAATATAAATAATCCAGCATTTTCAGTCAATGAGGACCCCCAGACCTACTCTATTAAAATCAAAAACTGGTCTAAATATAATGCAGCATTATAGAAAGTGCATGGTTTGAACATTGCTTCTCTAATAATTACCTATTTTTCTGAAAATAACAGTAATATTTGATAGTATTCAATTCAAAAATCCATGCTGAATCTTTAGCCTACCGAAAAAACCTAACACCCATTTAAGAACACAAGCATTAGTGCAGGGAAAGGGCATATGTTACACTGATTCATGAGGTAATCCAGCAACATGAGTTAGTACAGCAGCAAAGGATGCCTTTTAAACAGAACTAGGTCATTTGTCAGTTTGGAAAAACTGCCTCAGATCATTGGTTCTCAACAATGCTATTGAGGAATTTTCTTTATTAATTCTGCCATCCTCAGTTCTGAAGGGAGGTCACTTTTTATTGTGCCAACCTACCCTGTCAACAGCTTTCCTGGTGGCCTCCACCAAGGTGAGACCCATCAAGTCTTACATTGTCTACCCAGTATCTCCTAGTTCGTCCTTTGCCCCATCTTCTGGGAAAAACCTTTTGCAGAACAATCTCTATCATTTTATTTGTTTGCCTGCTGGGAGTTAGCAAAATATTTGAGCTTTCTGGTTTTGACATGTGGTAATATGCTTCTCTTAAGAGTTTTAGCACCCAGTAGTTGATCTTTCAATCCTCCCATGATATCCTGAGAATTTGCCTGGAGCACCACATCTCAAAACTCTATTATCTTCTAATGTCCTCTGCCTACAAAGCCCATGCCACACAGCCATAAGGAAGGACTAGCAGTCTAGAAATACTACCTTATCATACATTGCCATGGCATTTCTTCACAAAATCACTCAATCATTTCATAAGCAAACGGACACAAATGATGCTGAAAAGTACAGAAAACTCCTCCATCCCCTTCAGTTGAGCCTTTATTAAGTATTCTGTGTAGAATCATTAGGACATGGACACTTTTGAATTTATTGCATTATTTTTATTTATGATTGAATTTCTATCCCAAAATTTTAAATTTACTTAACACATTCACTGCCAGGGATTCAAATGAATGAAAAATGTATGAAAACATACCTCAAGTAATGTTTAAGGGTGTGGTATCTTGTATGCAACCCTTGTAGGTTAGGAGATACAGTTGGCTCATTATAATGAAGTTGTTGAAGCCGCCAGAATTATTTCATTGTATCTGGAGAGAGTCGTAAGTCTCCAATTAGAGATCTGAATCCCGTTATGCCTAGGTATATATGATTATTATTCCGTCGGTGTACTTTAGGGGTTCTACGACTTTTAAGGGTTTGATGGACGACAGTATTTTAAAACCTTCGCTGCCACATATCTGCTGGTGGGGCACGTGGCATTGCAGTTAAAGCGTCAGATATTGCATTGAGAGCTAACGTCTCCACTCTTACAACTTAAGTTGCTTCCTGCAACATTGCCATTGGTTGTGTTCCAAAATCAATTTTGCAGCGAAAGGGTTAAATGCATAAATGCTTCTGCTGTGCAAAGCACATGGACCTCCTGAAGCCTTGTAAAATGAAACTCGCATAGGATCAATTGTCCAAGGGAGCTGACAAAAAGCTGCTGAGCACGAGCAGTGAAGTGCTTCGTTCACTTGCTTCTTCCATTTTCACATCTTCTGCCACGCACACATTCACATTCCCTATCACGCACATTCTGCATGTGCCAAATCCTTGGTTCTCGTAGGCTGTGCCTGAGGTGGAGGGCTGAATAGATAGATATGGAATGGCCCTTCTGCATTTCCATCAAGACTTATTAGTAGGTATAAATGGCATGCTTTTTCAGTTATTTTCATTTTTATAATGAATTGATTCCATATGCCTTGCTTTTAGAACTGTAATAGCAATTTACCCTATTTTGAATGAAAAACAGGAACAAGAGGCCTATTGAAATTACAAACTTCTCAGAAATTAGGGTAACCCATCACAAAGACATGCTTACACTTCATATTGCATTTCCTTGTATGTTGTTACAGGTGAGCCTTAAGGACAGGATGCTTACAATCAATGCAAAAGTGGATACCAGGGGAGCAGATGGAAGCCAGCTCTCTACAGAAGTGACTAGACAATATGTTCTTCCTGAGAATGTAGATGTGGATGGGCTTAGGTCTCATTTGGACTCTGATTCCATACTCAGAATTGAGGCTCCTCAGACTCCTTCAGAACAGTCTCAGGAGATCCCTGTTACACGTGAAGTAGGAGAGAAAAAGTAGTTCAGCAGAATGGTTGTGATACGATTGTGTAGCCCATGATGTGCTTTGATCATCCTCTTATTGGATTTTCTTTTTTTTTTTGGCTGCCCCTTTCTGAAATCCTTTTTGTTCAATATAAGTCTGTGATGTTTATATCATGTACAGGTTTCATGATGTTAAAAAAAAATAAAAATCTGGAATTCTGGAAATAAGACTTCCTGTATTATATAATCACAATTTCAAAGGTATGAGAACAATCTCCTTTCACAGTATTAAAAGTAGAAGAGTGATTTTTTTGGGCAGAACAATGAGGGCAGGTCTATGGAATGGAGCCTGTGTTGTGCGAGATCCCAGCTGGTGGATACTGGGGCTTGTCTTCCAATTTGTCATAATCCAGGATGAACTCCTTTGGGACCTTCCTCCAACTCTGGTAGTCAAAGAAATAGTACATGCCTCTCTCATAGGTCGATGTCTTTTCCACAGGTACCATGCCTGGTGCCCTTGTGATCCACACTCTCTCCTCCTTGTGGTACCTCCATTCTCTTGTGTACCTAAAATATGAGTTTCAGAAGAAAACATCCTGAGATCAAGGAAAATATATGGATGTTCTGTATTGAATGGGAAAAGTTGACAAAGAAGGAATGAATAAATATGACAGAACAGAATGAACGCACAGTTCATGGGCAGCTGCCAACTGTAGGTAGTCCCCGACGTACATATAGAAGATGTAGAAAAGCAGATCTTCTCCATACCTGTTCAACTTGATCTGAGCCAGGCCAGTCCTGACCCCCCCCCAAAAAAAGAAGTGAATCACCACATAGATTTCCAAATTGCCATAGCTAGGTTCATGGTTGCTTACCTTATATGAGAGTTGGTTAGGTATTCCTGAGGAACACTACATTCCAAATCTTGAGGTCTGCATGGTGCATCTGCCCATGGGCCTCCAAATGCAGGATAGATGGGCTCAGGCGAGTTCAGGTTCAAACCTATTTACAGTGCATGAAAACAGCTGTTTTGAAAAGCAAAATGATGTTTTCATAACCTGTATGAACAGTAGATATCAAGAAGGCAGGATATCAGCTTCCAAATAAAATGAGAGAAATGAGTATGAAACAAGGCCTTGAAAAAGAATTATTCCCTGTGAGAGTTTACCTAATGTGGTGAGGTCAGATCCCAGGGAAAGTGACACCAAGTTTGGATCAGTCTCTGTTGTCCTGATCACAGAGAGGAGACCCACCATTCCAAATTGGTCTACCAACATTCCATTGGGGATGTTTGTCACTCGACCTGCAGAGAGACAGGAATTTCATTTCAATCTATTCCTTACACCTTGATATCCTGAAAATTTGAAGCCAGTATGAATGTGAAGATTCACAAATGTTTTGAAAACTGCCTTGGAAATGGGATACAAACAAGAGATAATAATGAATATAACCCTCCCCTTCTTCATCAGACCACTAGATCTATCAATCTAGCAAGGGAGCCAAGGAACTACCACTAAAAGATTTGGCACATTTAAAGGCTACATAGGATGTTGCCAATGATTTAAACAGGCAAACTGTAAGTTTAGATTAGGGCTGCACTGATATGTCAGCAACTGCTGATGTAAATACATCACCACTCCAAAAAAAGAAAAAAAATGATGATGCATAGTGTGATTGTGGTCAGACACTGGACACCCTCATTTCTTTTCCAAGAAAATAAATCTGTTTCTGGCCTCTTTCATGCAATATGATGTATTACATGGCATGATAACATATCTCTCCCTCATTGAGACCTGGATCCAATTAAGGAATCAGGCATGTCACCAAACTTGTCTTCTTTGAGAAAAGGCAAGCTTCATAAAGTTTATAGTGTCTTCCAAGAAACAAAAATCTTTGTATTGCTAAAGCAGACATCTCTCCCTGCAGGTGATAATCAAATGCTAGCACACAACATCCTACTGGAGTTCCTCGCTCTTTCTCAGTATGCAGATCTGGGGCCAAGAGTTTGTACCTTCTGGCCAAGAAAGGTTTATTTCTATAATAATTAAAATAAAAAAAACTATATTTACAAAGATGTGATTCATCTATTCTTTTGAATGGTGACAAAATGGGCATCCTACCCCACTTCAGTTTTATATTTCCAATGTAATATACATGCTACCCCTTCCAAGAAAAGCAAACAATTCCAGTGTCATAAAATTGTTAAGAGCTGGTGGTTCGAATATAGAATTGAATAATAAATAATTGGTTTCCAATCCAATCCATGGATTTGCCACATCTGGCACCTGCCAGTGTAGCTGAGATTAAACTGGCCATCAATACAATCCCAGTTTAAAACAAATGAACTTGTTCCATTGGTGGAACTTGCCACAGAGTGTCCATAAAGTGACTAACCATGGGCAACTTTTTTTCCATACTAAATTTGGGGAAACCCCTATTTTTATTTGTGTAACCTATTTATCAATGCACCTCAGAATGGTGTCACATCTTTCATTCTTCCACTCTGATGTGACTAAGTTAACTTTCCAGACCTTTGTCTCAATTGCAGATTCTGAAATTTGAAGTATAGCACGCCAAAATGAGTGAGAAAAAGGCATTTTTTGCAAAGACAAGGTCACATATATAAACAAATCTTGTGCTGTGTAACAGACAAGTCATGGAATTCTCACAGGTGTTGGTAACAATGCAATTGCCAGGGCTCAGAAATGTCAGAAAATTGGCAGTTGACACATTGAACCATTTTGTCAAGTAAACTTTTTATTATTATTTTGAATTCCCAAAATACTTCATTATTCAATTAATACCATGATGATTACAAGAAGTTTGAGCAAATGGGTCAAAGGGGAAAAATTTCTTAAAATTTTAGTCTCTATTTCTTTCCCATTAACATAAATGAAAAAAAAATCCAAAACACATCTGTGAAACTAATTTTTGGCCATGCCAATGTAATAGTTGGAAAAACCTGACTATTCCAAGGTTGGTATGTTTTCAGTATAAAAGCATGAAAAAGAAAAAGGCTACTTCAGTGTCAATAGTAAAAAATTTGCCCATAAATAACCACTTTGTGGACACCCTGTACTAAATTCAGTTCTACATAGCCCTCCTAGAATTGGTCATATAGTTGGCTGACAGTAAATATAAGAATTTAGGATCTAAAAACCTTCTATCAACATTTAAACACCTAAAAACAGCTGGAAATTTTCTTATTCATTTGCCCTTTGTTTGGCCAACTTATAATTAAAACCATTCCACACTACCATTGACATTCATAGCCCTTCACTTAAATTTTAGAAACACTTTTTTTTTAATGAGTCAGTTCTTTTCAACTTACTCAAGCACAAATTAAGCTTGATAGTTTTTTGTTTGCATTCATTTTGTATGGCAAAAAGAGCTCAGATTCATTATAAAATCTGAGCTACCTACTTACTAGTAAGCAGTAAGGCAAGGTGCCTAGTAATCACGTGCCTTCTTTATTTTTCCGTCTACCTCTCTACTTTTTCAGACTTGTCTATAGTGAACATCATTGTGCCTTTCCTTTTTTTTAAGGTAAACCTCATGCTCTATCCTTTGTTTCCTTCAGAGGTTATAGATTAGCCTTGTTTTGTCAGCCCCATCAATTTTAGCAAATTAGTTTCATATCTTGGCTGATGCATGAAAATCTGCAGGTTCAAGATTCATGGTGTTCTTTGAAACAACTATGGTCTAATCACTTAGTCTTTGTGGTAAACAGTTTCATCAGTCAAGAACAAAAGATTTATAGATTCACAATTCAGGGTTTTGAAAAGGGAAACTTATTGACCTCTTTTACTGATACATCAATTTGGCCAATGCCTCTTTGGATGATTATTTAGTAGTCAGCAGTATCAGCTTGCATTGGAAAAATTTGGCAAATATATTGATTAATTTTTCCTCATTAAACAGAAAAATGAGAATGACAACTACCACCTTGATTATCCTTCATCAAAAGTTATTGGTCCTATTAATCAAAAAGTAGCCATGAACCAGAGTACATATTGAGAAATTAGGTTTGCATGCATGCATGTCAAAGTATTGTTTATCAGCTATTTGTGGCCTGGGCTAGTTGGTGTATGTTAAGTCCAGGCACACCAACATCAATGCACTATCACTGTCTGCAGTTTTCATGTCCATAAGAGGAGCCTTATGGTTTTGCTTTCCATCGGTCTTTTACCTGTCTTACTTCTTACAATGCTTTCACAATGCAGAAGACATGGGATGCTGTTCTGACTGATTTCACCTGATCACACAGGCTCTTGCCAGTTGCTGTATAATGTATACCAGGTAAAAATAAAAAAAGGTATCACTATTGGCATAGGTTGATACAGGTTGAACTGGTGCATTGCTTTGGGCAATAAATAAACAACTAATAGATACTGGCTTCTACCAAAAAGTGTATCAGTACATACCATTTACCAACTCTTAGCTGGTGCCTGGATTGGCTGCTAATTTCCATTAATAGGTTATAATCTGATGCAACCTAATTTTAAAAATCTAAGGAAATGCAGACTTCCAAAAAATGACACAAGCTTTTTCATCAGCCTAAAAAATCTGCAGCTAGGACACCCAAGTGAGACTCAGTGAAGAAGCAAAAGTTCACATATGAATGTTTGTTTTTGACATTAAAAAAATTTAACTGATTTATGTGGCATGAAAGCTTAAACTAAAACAGCATCATGTGGGAATTGGTTCTCAGCAGCATCCTGGATAAAAGCTAGTTGCAGGCCTAATATTGTATGAAATAATTTGTTAGGTCATCTCCTGCCCCCAACCCCTTCCTCCAATATTCCCCATGTTTGTTTTGTCAACCCTCTCCTGGATGAATTAGGTCTAGACTTGTACATCCAATCCTATATTTGCCATGAGATCCTGTTCTTGGAAAAGAGGGAGCAAGATCGCCATCCCTCTAATGACAGAAGTTTGTAAAATACATTGCATCCTTATGACACCCTATGCTGCATGGTAACTATCCCACTTCTTTAAAGTTTTTACTCATAGGCCATCAAGCTACATGAGTGGTCACTTGAGTTGTGCCTTGGAAAGCTGACATACAGGATGTACATATGCAAGTATCCTATGGCTTAAGAAATTATCCTAGTCAAGAATTCTGACTGCTGCTATTGGTGCTTCAAAAAACTCAGATATAGGACTCTGTGAGATGGCAGTGTACATGGGGTGAACAGGGTAGTTCTGTGGGTGCATGATATGAGAGTTTGCTCAGAATGGGAATATGAGAAAAGGCTCAGACTGCAAATGAAAGCAGGCAGCCTCAATCTTAACATACATTTCTATACTCAGCAGCATTCCAACATCCTGCTCTCCAGACCATGGAGAAGATGACAAAATCTAGCAATACAACCAAGTCAGTCTGTCCACTGGTGAATGGCAAGGTAAGGGGGGGTTGACATTATTTAAATGAGAAATACCAAGGTGCAGGTGATTGGCATAAACAAGATCTAAATAATAAATCAACTTTTCCAGAAAATTTTCAGGGAAAAACTCTGAGAAAATTTTAAAAGGCAATAATCATAATGGAATATGGAGCTTTCCTGTAGAGCAGTCACAGCAAGTGATGGTAGCACATCACATGTAGTAAAGGTTGATCCTTTAATTGGACCATCTGCTGGTTACCTACATTTAATCTACTTTCAGGGTTTCCTTCAGGAAGTTCTTAAATCAAGAAAGCCAGTACTAGAAGCATATTCTGCTGGGAAGGTGGAGGGTATGGCATTGGTAGGGATTCTCTTTGCTTGTCCCTCACCTCACTCATTCCTGCAGCAACAGTGAGTGAGGGGAAAGAGAAGCTTACACGTGTACCAATGCAGGTTTTTCCCGAATCAACTAATGCTGATAATTCAGCTTATCACCCATAAAGAATTGGCAAAACCAATACATCAACTCTGAAGTGACAGATCCTTTTCTTATTACTCATAGCAAAAGGGTGAGATATTGTGAGGACTTTTACAAGTTCAATAACATGACAAGGTTTATCAGTGTTGCATAGCAGTAAAGGTTTTTAGTATTGCAAAGAGGAAATGCATGGAAATGGAAAATAAAGTGAGCAATGGAATACTACATTTTTAAACACAAAATACTCTATATAGGGTAGGAGATACAGATTCCGACCCCCTTAAGCCCAAAACCTGCCCCTCACATATGTTTTGACTTTTTTTGGGATCTATGTCATTCAAGAAGAAAATGCACACATTATCCATTCACATTTTGAGACCAGACATTGGTCTAATTGTGTTGGAAGAGGCTACTTGGATTTCTTATAACAGTGAATTATGCAATGTGGGGGAAGACTTTATAGCAGGATCGGGATTTGTCTCGACTATCCTATGATCAGTATCCAGGATGTATGCACTAATAGATTCAACTGATGCATTGCAATATTCTACTATGTCAGCCATTGTAGATACAACAATTGAAATAGTGTGACCCAGCAGTGCTGAAATGAGATGAGAATTATTTTGGTGTATAAGTGCATGCATTCAAATCAATCCAGAAGTCACACTGCCTCTTTAAATTTGGCTTAGCTCATTCATGGCCTGAGCATAAGGAAACTCTTAATCTTTTATTGGTAACTAACCTTCAGGGGTGCTCTGAATGCCTCGTTTGGAAGTAACAGAAGAAGACTTCTCTGCCCCAGGTGCTCGCTGATGACTTGCCAAGTTGCTGTCACTGGATACACTACCACCCACACTTTCACTGGCTCCCATCGCCTTCCCTGTACTTTCACTGTTAGTCTGACCCAGTGCATCTTGCTCCTGTGCTCCAGGCAGAGCAGGGAAGTCCTCATTGCTCATTGTGAATTCTGTTGGTTCAGAATTTGGTTGCTTGACCATGCCAACTAAGGATAGAAAGCAACATATATAGTAGACTCCATGATGCATAAAAAATATCAAGGTAATGAAACACTAAGCATTCGTGGCTACCACTTAGGAACATATAGCTTTATTAAACCTTAATTTAAGATTTAAAATTAACTTTCAAGGGCACTCAACTGCTGTGTAACTCTATCATTGACAGACCACTCATATTCATATCCTGACCATTCCTATTATGTGGCATATGTAGCAACAATGGCCAAATGTCAGTAGGCTTTGACTTGTATCATCAGCTGCTGATAGCATTAAGTCTTGGAGCAGTCATCCATGGCATTAAACATGGTTTTAGACTTTGAAAGGAATTCAATAGATAAGACAGTAATTAAGAATGAAGTACTTGAAAGCTTCCTACATAGCAAAAACCAACAAAATTCAATAATTGTGACTGAATTCTTCCTCATGGCTTAGCCAAGTAGAACAACTTCAGAAAAAATGAAACTGCTGTTTCATATGTGGGGCATAAAACAATACTTAAAAACAGTGATGAGCAACCTTTGTTTGACTGTGGGCTGCAAGTGAACCTTTTAGGTTCCTGGCGGGCTGCATGTATTTTTTTAAATAATGAATTACAGGCTTTATGCCTGCAGAGTACCAAAATAATCCTAAGCCAGGCTTTGTAAACCAGGTAGTAAAATAGTTGATGCTAATGATATGCAAAGAACTCATTTTTAACATTTTTTCATATTTTTACTGGGCAAAATACCAAGCAAGCCGCTTGTTCCGAGAGCAGTGATACACTGACCCAAAAGAGAGCGAGGGGATATTTGCAGTGGAAATATAGCATTTATGTTATATTTCTTGCTTTGGTATCTCTTGCAGAGAGCAACAGAACCCTTGAGCACATGTGTGCTCTACTCCAGGTGGAAGACAAGAGGAGAAAAAAATTCAGTTGGCAAAGCCCAGTGGGCCGCACACCAGGACCTCGTGGGCCACATGTGGCCCGCAGGCCGTGGGTTGCTCATCACTGCTTTAAAACTTTGCATGTAGGGGGTGGTACCAGACTAAGCATATCCTGAATTTGGTATCATATTCAATCCAGTGGGGAAAGAACAGAATATTAATTTTAAAAAAAAAAATTATATTCAACATGGACTGAAAAAATAAAATATTGATCATTGCCATTCATACCATAAGGTGCTCTGCCTGCCATGGGGTTAGGCTGCATTGAGGCAGAGTCTCCATGCCCTCTATTAGACAGAGAAGGAAACTCAGATAGGTCCAACGTTGGTGGGGTCGTCCCATTATCACCTGCACCAGAGAATGAGGATTGCAGGCCAGATATGGCATTATGCGAACTGGGGTTTCGATGCAATGGAGACAGGCCAAAGTGCGCCAGAGATGACAGAGAACTGGACCTACAATGGTTCACCCTGCCTTCATCACCATCTGTAAGTTGTTGTGAATCGGTGTATATTGCAGACTTACTTACCCAAGGTTTAATGACCTCCCTAGTTCTGAGGTGGAACTCCCTGAACTCCTTGCATTCAGGAGGTTTCCTCTATTACCAAGTGTTAAGAGACCTCGACTTGGAGATGGCTGCTGAGGCTGTGGCTGTCCAAGGACATTACTGCTCAAGCTGGAGTGGCTGAAAGCACTTGAGGTTGGAGTGGTGGAGCCAAAGCCCCTTGAAGACAAGGGGCCTGTACTGGCACTCAAGCCTCTTGATGCTGATTGCTGCAAAATGCTTCCCATTCCTGCAGGAATAAATATATCCATCCATACAGATTATCTTCACAGACTGACATCTGTGGCCTTCAGAATTCAAATCAAACAAACCAAGAGAGGTTCCTATTGATGACTGTCGATTGTATAATGAAGACACAAACTGACTAGGACTGCTTGAACTTGAGCTCAATGAATCTGAAGAAAAGAAGCTGGATGCAGAGGTGGAGTTGAGATTGTATGAGATTTCTGAAGCCAGATTGCAATCCAAATCCAATTCATCCACATTTGATTCTCCAAGGACTCCTGCCCTCAAAGGAGGCCTCTGCCTCATGCCACGAATCCCTTGCAGGTTGTAATCCAGGGTGCTGGAGGTTTTAGGCGCTTTGCATTATACCACAGCCTTATTCAGGCTCCACATTGGTTCAAGTCTTGTCAGGCTGATAAGGCCCAATTCAGGCATCTGAAGTTCCAAAGGAGAACTTTCACACTTAGAATGCTCTAGCTAAAGCTAAGGCCTAAGTGCACCTGCTTAAATGACATTGGCCTGGCCTATCCTAGGTATCCAAGAGAGATCACTAGCTCACTCATGTTAAGACATGGTAACAGCTTCGGCAAAGCTAAGCCTAGGCCCGACTGGTTATCTCTTTTCTTGGGATTGATGCAAGAGCGAGGCAGCAGCATTCTTATCATGACCCTGGATTAATAATGTATCAGTATAATCTACATGATACTTGTATTGTTATCATTTTCAATTTTGGTAACAATTGTCTTCATCCAAAAGCAAGGTTTCAGGAATTAATTATTCATTTTATTATGTTTCAAGAAATAAAAGAAACAAAAAAGCAAAAATTAAACATTTATTTCATATTGACCTATTTCAGACAAGCAGAACTGGGCAAGTTCAAATGAACAGTCATGATCTTATCCAAGAAGTCTTCCTTCAGGGAAGCAGTAAGTGGACACAGGTTTGGGGGTAGGGGTTGGAAAGATCAGGAAAATTGGTACAGAATCACACAAAAATGACTATCTAAAGTGAATGCTTCTGTTCCAATTCAGTGTGTTTAATTCTGAGCTTTGTCAAGGAAGTGGTGTATACATTATGAATATACTGGGTGTCTGAAAAAAAAATTCAATGTCTGAATCACTTGTGAGCCATTATGGGCACATGTAACCATTCCTGAAAGTTTTTGACAAAATCTTAAGCAAACTTATTTTAAATGACAGGGATGAAATGATTGATGTGGAAAAAGAAGCTATTGCTCAGTAATTCCCACAAAAATATACTAGAGTGGACAATTGGGGGGGGGGGGGAATTCCTTGAATTTCCTTACTCACTTGCTTTGCAAGGCCTTTCCTTATCTGATACAACTCAGCATTTCAACAAATTTCCTGATCATCATAGATAGTATCCTTAGCATTCTTTCAGTGCCATAAACTGATGGAAACTGGAATGATAGATTCCTCCTGCCAACCCAAAACATATACCAGCAACTTGAGGTGCCAGAGATATGGCATGAATTACCTCTCTTGAACTTGGATAGAAATCAATCCATACAAGTAGCAGAAAGTGCTCACTTTTAATTCATGAACATGGCACTTTATTCCAAGTGCAACTCTCTAATCAATGTATGTGATTCTCAGAGTAGGCCTACCAAGACATAAGTATAAGTTTATTTCTCCTACCAATGCTATCCTCATGCCATAATTCTAGGAACCCATTCACAAGTAGATGCATTTCATTCAGTGCATGCACAGTAATAGTCTTTGATTCACTCAATACAGAATCAATATGGTCAGAAACTAATTTTGACACTAGAAATCGAGAAATCAGTTATTATAAATCAGTTATAAATTGAGAAATCAGTTATTGTTGGTCAATTAATAACAGAGCAGTTGGATCTAGCAAGCAAATATATATAAATGCCACCAGGAATGCAACTTTAAAACTATCAATAATAAATTATCAAAATGTACCAAAAAGATTCCCTTAACCCCAAGTATGTTCCATGTAATCTGAACTAACTTCAAGTATTGCATAAAAATCAAATTTTTAGACTGCACATGTCCACTTTTCAATCAGTATGAATGCAACTAGGCAATACCTCTACATAAAATTGAATTAGAGTAATCCTATAGGCAAAGACCATTAGCAACTGAAGGAGCAAAAGGAATGGGACTAACAAAGGGATGATTCTCTGATCAGTTGTTAAACTCATTCAGTTGCAAAGCTGAGTCTACTCATCCTACAGTGCTATATCTCTAGAGCAGTGTTTCCCAAACAGAGTGCCGCCAGTAAGGCCACAAGATTTGAGAGTTGACAACAAAAACCTAAAAAACTAAAACAACTTAAAAACATGAGGGAACATCATCTCTGAGGAAAATGAGCTGAGAGTTGCACTATCATGCCTCATATCAAACTGCTGTGTTCAGTGAAGCAAGCATAAATTTCCCATTAAAAGTAAGTAAATGGCTGGGTGTGCCGTGGAAAGTTCAAGGGTCCTAATGGGTGCTGCAAATAAAAAAATATTGGGAAGCACAGCTCTAGAGTGCCAAATACAAATTTACTTAGGTTTAGAGTAGTAGTTGCTTTTCAATTCCACTTTTACAAAATACCCAACAGACTTCCACAGATGCATGCAATGCATCACTTGAATATCTAAGCTAATGAATAACCTCCCTCCTGACTGACCTGACAGCACTAACTTCTAGTCAATAAACAAGTTCATTCCCAGGGATTTCACACCATTCATATCTACAAGCATAATGGAATGTGTTTCCACTCCTGGTCATGATCACCATTAGTATCCTGGTATATAATTGAAACATGTGAGGAACATGTCAAGGGGTACCAGTCTATGAAAAATTGCTAGATGGGACTAATGACCATCATCATAGTGTATCAGAATTTCCAAAGAATTTGATACCAAATGTGTCAGATTAGCCTTAACCATTCTTGAAATAAAGGGTGTTGCAATGCACATAAACTTTGTTTTGTTAGAATTTTGCAGGATTTGAAGGGTTGTGTAGGAGAAAAGTCAACGGATGCAAATGGGTTATATACACAGAAGTAACATGAACATGAGACACATAGAAAAAGGTATTCCATGAGGTTGGACTCCTTCCATTATAGCTGAAATCATTGGGCCTATTTCTTTGCCCTCTCCAGCAGCTCTTCAGAAAGCAGAACATGCATTCATACCAGAAGTGCAAAAAAATTATTTAAACTATTGGGAGATTGCAGAATCCAATGTGGCTTCACCCCACCCAATGGCTGCTCTTTGCCTGAACCTGGATGATTTTCTCTTTGTAGACAGGCTCAGTTTTAATTATTTTTTCCCCATTAGAGAACACTCTGACCCTAGCCTATTCCTAGGTCCATTGAGAGCACACAAAAAATGGATTACACCCAACAAAGCTAAATATTCAGAAATACATTCATACCTTGCCACCAAAATTTTCTGTTGTCCTAGCCCTTGCCCATGCAATTGAGTCTGACCTAAATTGAACTGATTTACCATGAACAAGCATCCTTAGAAATCAATCTGGATTCACAGTAGTATAAGCTGAGCTCTGCTTATAATTTGGTGCACTATGAAATGATAACCTAGGCAAAACTTGTGGAACTACTTGCAGAACCAGACTCTTTCATTGAGAAATACACCTAGACCTAACTGCTTAGATTAAGCCAAATCATGTTCATATGATTCTGCTGAGTGTCATGCCAGACAATGAAGTAGCAATTTCTTAAGAGTGGGTATGGACACAGGCTTTTAGTCATAAGCCATGAAGCAAATTATGGGACAGTTACTCAATTATATGAATAAAGTGTAAATAAAAGGGGGGGATCTTCATATTCATACCATAAAAAGGACCATAATTTAGTACACAACTAAGAACCAACATCATACTTTTGTCATTCCTGGAGAATTATGTTTGTACATAAAATGATCTATTATACCATTGGGATAGCAATTCATTTAAGAAACTAAACAGAGGAAAAGCTCCTCTAACATTCTTAAATTATATATCATAAAGTCGGGCAGTAAGTGACAAATTAAAAAACCAATTCATGGATTGTCATACAAAATAGGGGTTTGGATCAACACTTGCTAGAGTCATAAGTTTCAATCAAGTCATTGTTGGCATAAAAACTTTACCAGAAGAGGTAGCTTTTAACCTGTTAACTGGGCATGATGAGTATATTCATCACGATCATTCTCCTGTGTGGTGCGAATGAGAATACTTGTAATAGGATTTCAGCTCCACAAAACCTGTGGTTTTGACAAATGTACTTATCTTGGGTCCTTGGTATGGAAAAAGTACACACTCTTTGTGAATGCTCTTTCCACATCATTAGAGATTCAAGGCTGTGAGATGAATATTCACAAAGAAAACTTGCCAAGCATTCCATATTCAATAGGAATATATCAATCATATGGAATCATACTAACTGCCCAAAACAGTCTCCTAGAAGGATTCTCTTGATAAAATGTGGCTTTACTCCTAAATATGTGTAGAAAAATCAAGCAAAGTTTAAGATCATGGGGTAAATCACTACAGAGAAATTAAATTCCATTGCACACAAGAGTTCCACATAGAAAAAACTACCCACTCAGCCTGTTGCCACCATGGGGAAACTTGCCAGTTATGAGGATAAAAAACTATTATAAACATCTGTGCTATAAATGATTTCCATAGATTTCCTAGTAACCCATATAACTTCCTAAATTAGCCATATTTGACATTAAATATAGCCATATTGCCACACCACCTCATGAAATATCTGACACAAAACTCTAACCATAAGCTGGCCTAGCCTGGGAAAATCATTAGGTCCCTAAAAGACCTGTAATATTTGCTGTTTTCTGTGTTCCATTTTGCAGTTGAACCCTCCTCATTTTTCCTTCTCTGACCTATTCTTGAGTGTAGAGTTAGACTTCTGCTTTGAAGTGAATGGATGGTGGGGCTAAGAAGGCAGTAGATTGGGTTCAATTCAGTTAGTAAAGAGCCCAGTTGGAGTGAAGCCTTGAAACAAGTATGTAGGTTGAAGCATGGGAGATTACCTGGGATATAGTCAAAGAAGGAAGACAGGCATAATAAGTTATATATGAATGCCACAGATGGAAAGGAATGCTTATCTGCACAAATAGCCATTGCCAATTTAATTTTGCACAATCCTAGAATCCTACAAGTTTTGACATGCTATAAAAGCTGGCCTTTCAGTGAATCTAGGCTAGACCAAGATACTATAGGACATGCAGCTTGGCTAGCCCCAACTATATGCTTGAAATTAAGCTTGGAGTATGCCTACAACCTATCCCTGGCAATGGATTGTGTATTTATCACATACTCCATGCAAACTGGAAAGCTCCATGCATAGTGTTTGGACAATTTATACAGGATTTCCCAAAATTCACTGTGCACTAGGTAAAAACAATAGTGCACTAGGTGCACAATGACTCTATGGACACCC